GTGCATACTTATTCTGGAGGCACTCGCCGGTAACCCGTTGCCTCCGAAAGCAGCTGAAAACCGTGAACGACTGTTGGCCAGGGTGAAAGAGGGAGGGAGGGAGAGAGTTTGCGCGGCCGAAGTTTGCACAGTCCGCTCACGTGCCGACGTGAAATTGGCCGGTGTCGCGGAGATGGCTTTTCAGACCGCCGCCGCCGCCGATGCGGAAGAGCACGGCCTTCTTCAAAACTGGGATCGGTGTACGACAAGTTGGTACGGTATGGTATGGTTCGATGATACAGTGCGTATATATATATATATGTATATATATATGTGTGTGTGCGTGTATAGGGGATGGGTATGTATGTCTGTTGCGGGGAAAAACGAGGCTGGAATTTTGAACAGCCGATCGAGGCCGGAGGCCTCTTTCTCACGCGGTCGAAACGCGGTGAACTTATGCGAGGCGACACGACGCGTGATCCGGTTCTCTTATAAAGGATTAATTGGGACGATTAGATGTTCCGTTTTTAGGAATTTTCGCCGTTTTTTTTTTTAAAGTTATCTTCGGTATATATATATCTGTCGATCGTAGATCGATCGTGATCTTTGGTCTATATATAGAAGATAGGCGAGATAAGGTATGGCATGCTCGAGTGTAAAATTGCTGTGTACTTTATTGGTGTAACTGCGGTCAGTTTCAAAGCCCCTCCCGGGATACCAATGTTTTCTTTCTTCTTTTTTTCTTTAAATGAGGTTTGAAAATGGTTTCGTGGAACGATCTTCGAAGCCCTAATTTCAGGAAGAAATTACGCACGATATCGTTTTATTTAGATTAAAATAGATTTTTCGAGTTTATTTTAAGTGTTAAGTTGAAATCTTCAATCTTCTAAGAAGGAATAAATGCAAATGACGAAGTTTCAAAATACGATTTTGAAACTTTGCGCAAAAGTTTGCGAGAAAGGTTTTCGTGGAATATTTAAACAATATTAAATATATTTATACATAGATTTATACGAGAACCAGGAAATGACATTCGCGTCTCTTGATGATGTTGGAGCATTCACGAGCAGCCACGA